TAATTATTTCTTATTTATTTGGATGGATGTACTGTATTGTATTTCCTTTGTATATTTTTGTATATTTCTTATGTGAATGTTAAATTTGATCTCACCTGAAATTAATATCTTTGTTTTTTGGCATTTACCCCATGTGCAAATATTGTTAAATAAGGATTTTACTTGTTTTCTCCTCAGAGAATCCTTAGGGGCTGCAGAGATGTCCCATTATGTGAAGTCCAAGTATTTATTCTTCTAAGCCTGCTTATTTTCCATCTCATTTGTAGTGTACAGAGCTATATTGGTGGAGTATTAACAAGTATACTTTGTTATTGTGACATAAATCAACCTGCTGACGAGTCTAGTGTTATATAGTGTTTTCAGATTATATTTTACAAATGTTCCAATAAGGACATTAAATCTTTATTCACATTTATTTTATTATATATAAGGTTTTAGTCATGATTTAGTTTATTTCTGCAGCTTCCTAAGAAACATAGTTTCTGGTTTCATTCGCTGTGTGTATCTTCTCTATTTTTACACCTCCCGCGTTTTGCGATTGTTAAGTTTTAAGATGTTTGAACTATTCGTGATGTGTAAATCACAAAATGTAAATAAGGAATAAAATATTAGTATGTTATAATTTGTCAATTTAACCTTCAAGTTTAATGTTTTGTTGTAAACGTGGTTCATAATGTGAGAGATTTGTTCACGTTTCTTTTTTAATTTTAGGGAAGAAGAGTTTATATTTCACAAGGTAATATTTCATGATAAGTACAGTGTAGCACAGTACTTGTACGTGTAATTAGCTTCTTTACCAGTTCCCTTTCCCAAAAGCTAATTCCAATCTCTGATTTCTACCCTTTCATTCATAATGCAAATTGCAACCATTGGAGAGAGATGCTTAGCTACTACTCAGTTGGCACAATATATTTAAGAGTGGCAATGAATCAACATTAATTCAATATTGATGACATTGATTTGCCATTAAATTGGCATTGCTCATATATTGAGCCCACTTGGTACAAATAACAAATTATATATTATTACATGTGATCTATTCCATTGGCCTTCCTCATCACTGAAATAGGAAGTGGAAAGCAGTTCTGGCTCGATTATTAATTTAACATAGAATATTAACTTGTGGGCACCTAATGAAAGATACTGGTGTCCTACTAGCAGAACTGAATTGTTCTTACTGTCACTCATCTGGTGGAATGTCCTGATTTTCAGAATCAGACGTTTTGCTTGCCTGCTATTCCTATACACCTCAAAATCTGCATTGCCTGCTGATGTAAACTGTGTTACCAAAATTATTTGTAAACTCATTGTCATAGAACGTAAAAAAAAAAATAATGAATTTAGGAATAACTATCACAAATGCTCCGGTATTTAATTCAAACTGATCTACTTACAAAATGTTTAGCTAATTATTCCCAGTTTGCTAACTGTAGGCAGTGCATGCAGGAGATTTCAGCATTTCCACCGCCACCCTTTGGGGTATGTAAAGAGGAATTAAAATTGTATACAACTGGCTCGATTAACAAACTCATGAGGTCACAGTTATGTTCATTTGATAAACTATGAAGATGCTTTTCATTTATATTAACATGTTATATAACTTGACCAAAATTTGAAGCATTGTTCTTGAACCCTTTGTAGACCTTAATATTTTGTACTGTAAATTTTTCTACCACCACTCAGAGGATGAGTATGAGGTATATAATGTATGAACTAAATTAAAATCCTTTACCCCACCTGAAAACAATAATAGAAAAAGTCATGGCAAGATCCTCAAAAGATGAAAAAAATGCGAGATACAGGTAACTGATGAAAAAACAAATAATGACTGAGGATTTTACATCAGTGTTCACACTGACAAAAATTATGCTACATTCCAATACCCACTTATAAAGCAGAGGAAAATGAGTTGAAAGATTAACACTACAGGTGCGAATGAAATTTGGTACAATGCAATTAAGGAGATGGCCAATCGTTTACACCACTGAATCTCTTATTCAGAAAATTATTAGACCAAGGGAAACTAACCCCCAAGATTGAAAAATGTGAAAACACCACTCCTTTCTTTAAGGAAGGCAGAACAAATATAAAAAAAACTACAGACCAATCAGCCTAACATACTACATCTAATGGAGACAGTTCTAAAGGAAGAAATTATTCATTGTATTTCAGTTTGCAATCTTGTAAAAGCAATTCATACTACAGTACCTGCATAACAAACCTACTCACAATTGGTAAGAAGACTGGCAAATGCATGTAAGACTTTTCGTGTGTGGTACAAGGCACTCCACTGCTACCACATACAAATACTACCTTGCAGCAGATTAAAAATAAATTATCACGGAGTAGTGGCCTGTCAGTCATTGAAAGATTTTCAGAAAGTATAGGAGCTACAGAAAAAAATATTCAGTTGTAAAAATTCCTTGCGTGTCTACCTGGGCTTTGTATGCACAAGCAGAGATTTTACATTGAAAAAGTCGTAACTGCACTGGAAAAGGTTTAATGTAAAGCAACGAAAGTTGTTCCAGAATAAAGTAAAATCTTGTATGAGGAAAGGTTGAAGGTTTCAAGAAGATATACTATATAAATGGCTAATCTCATCAAGATCTTTTAACTCAACAAATTGGAAGATATTAATCCAAAGCATTTCTTTAACAGTTAATGTACCTTGCCGAAGGGTGCTACAGCTTGAAGCTCAACAAGCTACTGTGTACGACATTAAAGATGCAAGGTTTTTTTCATTCACAAGGTAATAAACATGTGGATTCGTTAAATATCCAAAGCCATAACTAGTAAAACAATGTTTCAGGTTAAAATTTTGCTGAAATAAAAATGCTTAGGTATAATGAGGGTACCTTAGGCAAGCTGTAAGTTTCTTATTCCCATCAACGCTACTAGAGAGAGATCGATCTTGAGACAAGTACTGTAAAGGTTAATAATGGTCCTCTTATGACTATTCCCTTTGCTGATTACTAATACAATAAATACTTATTTATACAACGGAGAGAAATAATAATAGCTGCTTTCAATAATGACCTCCATCAAGCACATTTTCCATTGGCCTCCTTCAGCTTGTAGGACTTTGGGAAAGGGAAACATCAATGACTCGCTTGCATATTGTTATGCTATGCTGGTTCTTGTGATAACTTTAGCTATGGTGCTATGTGATAGCTTTAGCTATGGGCACCTGACAGCTGAGTGGACAACGCTTCAGATTCGTAGTCCTGCGGTTCCGGGTTCGATCCCCGGAAGAGGCGGAGACAAATGGGCAAAAAGTTTCTTTCACCCTGATGCCCCTGTTACCTACAAGTAAATAGGTAACTGGGAGTTAGACAGCTGCTACGGGCTGCTTCCTGGGGGTGTGTAACAAAAAGGCTTGGTCGAGGACCGGGCCGCGGGGACGCTAAGCCCCGAAATCATTTCAAGATAACCTCAAGATGGTTCCAATCAACTCCCTTATCATGTGCCAATAGTACACTACTTAGTGCAGGATGTAATATTTCTCGTTTTTGTGGATATTCACCTTGTACAGGCTTATCCAGGTCCCAACTAAGCCAACCACTAGCCCTCCCCCAGGATGCAACGCATAACAGTTGCCTAACTCTTGGGTATCTAATTACTGATTGGTGAACAGCGGCATCAGATGTGAGTTCCCCTTGAGCCAACTACTAACTTTTCTCAGGATGCAACTGACAATAGTTACCTACTGACAATAGTTACCTATGAACAAATCCACAAGGGCCGTGACCAGGGTTCGAACCTATGTCCGAGAGGATCCCAGACGCTGCCTTGTTCCCTTGCCCTTGTATATTTGTTCATTTGATGCATCACGCTATTGTGATTTCTGTGTGTGATTTCTGATTTCACCTATGTACTGCTAGGTGAAAAGGAAACGTCTCCAACCATTTCTGTCCCTCCAGAGAATCGAACCGTCAACTATCTTATGAGACCCTTCATGGGTGGTGTTGTATGTATCCATATCAAGAAAAGCCATAGAACCGCCTACCCGCTGAAGCCGGAAAACATTACTGCAGTTAAAAATCCATGAGCAGGATAAAATAATCAGAAAAACGTGGGAACTTTTGACAAGCTACCGACTTTGTCTTCGTTGAGGCCACCAGAGAGATTACGGTCCTCAAATAAATTGTGATAAATTACCGCCAGAGGTTAGTATACAAGAGGAACAAGAGGCTTAAGGAAATTCTCCCAGTTAAGGGCAAGGCTGTTCGTGTGATCACCCATCCAGTTACTGGCCAGACCCAATGGTGCATAATGTGACTGAAAGAATGACATACATTAGTCATTGTGCCATACTGGATAGAACAAGCCATGGTGTGGAACAGCAACCACGACAGGTATAGAGCGGCATCCTAGACAGGTGTGGAGTGCCACCCACGACAGGTGTAGAACACCAATCACGACAGATGGAGCACCACCCACAAGAGGTGTGGGGTACCACCAACGACAGGTATGCAGTACCACCCATGACAGATGTAGAGCACCATACAAGACTGTGAAGAGCACCATACAAAACTGTGCGGAGCACCACTCGTGACAGGTATGAAGCACCAACCAACACTGGTGTGGAGCATCACCCACGGCAGTGTGGAGCACCAACCAACCACTACTGGTGTGGAGCACCAACCAATCACCACTGGTGTGGAGCACCAACCAACCACCACTGGTGTGGAGCACCACCGACGACAAGTGGAGCACCAACGAAGACAGATGTGGAGCACCAACGAAGACAGATGTGGAGCACCGACCAAGGCAGGTGTGTGGAGCACTAACCAAGACAAGTGTGAAGCACCACACATGACAGATATGGACCACATGCAACACCGTCAATACAACATTTCAAACCCTAAGTTTTCCCGCCACCAGAAAGTAGAATGAATCCTGTCCTAGCCAGCGTACACCCTGGCCTATGATTGGCTGGTGTAGGAGCGCGAAGGCCGATGATTGGCAGAGGTACCGGGGAGCATTGTCAGTGGCCGGGACGAGGACCAATGAGCGTGGAGGACGGCCCTGGCGTCCATTTTGGCCGGGAAGCTGTGTTGTGTTTACAGTGTTGTTGGCATACCCTCGTGCAACTCCGGCGACGCTGGGGCCTTTACTCTCGTCCACAAAATGTCAGAATCGGGCGCCTCTCCGGCCAAAATAAAAAAGCTAGACCCGGCAGAGGAAGTGAACGAATCGCGGGAATACGACCCAGAGACCCAAAAAGCGCTGGAGGAAATAGACTCGTGTCAGAATGAGATTGATCAGCTCAACGAAAAAGCCAGTGAGGAAATCTTGAAGGTAGAACAGAAGTACAACAAACTAAGAAAACCCAACTTCGAGAACCGGAGCAAAATCATCCAGAGGATCCCTAACTTCTGGGTGACGGCTGTATCCTTTTTTGTGACCTCGTGTCCCCAACGCCGCCGCCTCCACATATTTATACAATTGTCATTCATAAATTCTTTGAAAGTTGCCGGTGTGGCACGGGGAGGTGTGGTTGTTGTGTGTCACACCTGAGTGTGGCGGCAGCTTGTCATTTAACTGACCATATTTGTTGTAGTACCATGTTATAGGGTTAAGGGGCACAGGTGGGGGTCGGGGAACGGCTAAATTAACACAAATAGTGTCAAAATTTGAATTTCTGGGATATATTTCTGAAAATAATAAATATAAATAAACACATTTATATATTTTAGATCACACAAGTTGACAATTTTAGATAATGGCTAATATTTGTTTTTATTAAATTCTGAAAAGGATGTGTGTGTGGGGGGTATTATTTTAATATAAATAAATTTGTGGTAATAGAAGAGAAAGTTCTCCAACCCCTGATCAGGAATACCTGATCAACAAGGCTGCGATTCATACGTCAGGCTGCGAGCAGCCGTGTCCAATAGCCTGCCTGACCAGACCAACTGGGAGGCTGGGTCAGAGACTGGGCTGCAGGGCCATTGATCCCTGGAAGCTACAGAAGGTAGGCTGGGTTAGGGTGCATTATGGTAGGTACCACACACCAATTTGTCTCTGGCATCCATGCTTATTGGTTATCTGGTACTGTAGTCTGGGCCAAATTTTAGTGTGAGATGTTAATTTACATTTACTTGTATGTGCAGTAGATAATGGCATGTCTACTGCACATACAAGTAAAGCTTGTTTTTGTGCTGTTTTACGGACAAATATAATTGTATAATTTAATTTTCTTTACAAATTGGACTATACCCAACACACACGAATTTGTAGTATTCTAAGGAATTTTTTTGTATTCAAGTTGGCATGAACACAGAAACCTAGAGAATACCTAACTAGCACACATATGGTGCCCATATCTTAAGAAGCACATCAACAAACTGGAAAAGGTGCAAAGACATGCTACTAAGTGGCTCCCAGAACTGAAGGGCAAGAGCTACGAGGAGAGGTTAGAAGCATTAAATATGCCAAAACTAGAAGACAGAAGAAAAAGAGGTGATATGATCACTACATACAAAATAGTAACAGGAATTGATAAAATCGACAGGGAAGACTTCCTGAGACCTGGAATTTCAAGAACAAGAGGTCATAGATTTAAACTAGCTAAACACAGATGCCGAAGAAATATAAGAAAATTCACCTTCGCAAATAGAGTGGTAGACGGTTGGAACAAGTTAAGTGAGAAGGTGGTGGAGGCCAAGACCGTCAGTAGTTTCAAAGCGTTATATGACAAAGAGTGCTGGGAAGACGGGACACCACGAGCGTAGCTCTCATCCTGTAACTACACTTAGGTAATTACACAAGCAGAGGACACCAAACATTTTGGTATGCAATACAGTACACGTAAAGGTGCGCTTATTAGATACAAGCCCATACACGTTAGACCTTTGGATAGGAACGTACATATGGCACTGTATTGATTCATATAAGCACATGGTATGCTGAGCAATATCGATGCAGATGCAAGCTTTTTTTTTTTTTTTTTTACCCAGACCTAATAAAACTGTGGATGTTATATCTGAGTTTACCTGGAGTGGGTTGCCGGTGTTCTACTTCCCATGCCCAGTCTGGGGTCAGGCTTGTTGTGTGGTAACTTGATTTAAAAGACTTAATAATACTGTCATAATTTTTTATAAGTACAGTAAAGGTAGGTACACTATAATTTTATATATAGTCACTAATATATAGAATATATCAGTCCCTTGGTTGGTACCTTAGTTCATTTGTTTATTTAAAACACTGATGAAAATGTTATTTTCAACAAAGAGTTGATGAAAATAAAATTTTCAACACATTATTTTTTATTTTTAAACAATTGAGCAATCAGAAATTCAGGAATTTGTTTAGTTTAAATTTCCTTAGCTATGCAGTGCCATTTCCTATGTACTTGAATTGTAGAAGTAGCAGCTGGTACTGTTCTTAAGAGTACAGCATATTGTAAATATCAGCATTGTAAGAATTAATGATGGATATCGGTACATGTTTCCCTATTTCCAACTTTCTCCTCTCGGCTAACTTCACTTTTTCTGAGCGTTTTGTTAAGGTTAAGTTTGGAGTGAGTTGGAAATGGCACTTTGTCATCAGAATCCAAAAAGGTCCCCAGAGTCAACACAATGATGTCACACACACTGCACACAGTATGTATGAAACATGTCTATAATTTTTGTTAGGTTTGTTTAACCACTGTACTCTGCTCTGAGAGTTTTGCTATTTTTTTTAATTAGGCTATATATAAATGTTTTATAATGTTTTCATCACTGTTTTGAAATGAAAATGGTGGAGTTTGGAAACATTTTAACATTAAATTTACCTGAACATTTATAAAAGCAACTATGTCCTGACAATTGCACTATGAAGTTTTTTCAAAACCAGGTTCGCAGTACCGTGGTTAATGAGTTAATGGCATAGGATAGCATAACTTTGGTAATTTTTATACCTTTTTCTATTTTGTGAAATTTGGTTGTCAGATGAGGATGAATCTAGCAGTTGTGCAATTCATCCAAGAAATTTTGTTAAATATAAATACTGCACACTAGGTGGCCCCCACCATTCAACTGTTATAATCACAACAAATAAGAATGTCCATATCAGTTGCTGATGTAGCACTATGTATTTTAATTTAAATAGAGAATTCAGATCACTGATCTTGATTGCTCTGTATATTCAAAATTTTGTGCAGTTGAGAGGCTTGAGCCCAGTAGGTCCTTGTTGTATCTTCAGTTCCCCATATATTGTGGGGAAAACTGACTCGTGGGATTTATTGATTTATTTTAATACAATTATTAATTTAATGAATTCTAATTTATCATTTATATTTAATTTATTATTTATATATACTTTATATATTAATTTATTTATGTTTATTTAGATAGCAGACTGTATGATTTAAATTCCCACAGATCGTTTCCTACACAAGCTGGGGGGGTTTATTATTTATATTATCTATCAATCAAAATGAATAGATTGGTAGGCATTTACTACAATGTTACTAGGGTTAAACTACAAATTAGTTAATGAAAATGTAAGCCTTATCTGACTAAAGACTTAAATATTCTGGAATTGATGTAGAGAAAGTGGGTAGCCAGTCAGTCACGTGCTCACCTAGTTGTGCTTGTGGGGGTTGAGCTCTGGCTCTTTGGTCATGCTTATGGTCCCCTGTCTCTTGTCTTTGGGTAATGTCATATTAATAACTTCACTTCTCAATTTACCTGCGGTTGAATTTTACACTGTAAATTTTGCCACATACATAAATTATTTAGTTATATGTATAATAATAATAATCTGTAATAGAGAGATGAGATTATTGCTCACCCTTGGATTTATTGTTTATATATGGCATAACCATAACAGTAAAATTACACAATGAAATAAGAGCTCTACAAATCATTTAGTATACTGTACGGATATAAGGCCTTCCCTGGTAAAGCTGGTGTCGATTTGTGCTGTCTTAACTACTCAACAATAACTTGGTATGTACAGGTACAGAGGAGCCTCGATTAACAAATTTAATCCGTTTCGGCATCAAGTTCGCCATGTGAAACGCTCGTCTTGTGAAACAAATTTGCCCATTTAAAATAATGGAAATAAAATTACAGGGGTACCTCAGTTTTCATAATTAATCCGTTCCCAGAGACGGTATGAAAACCGAAGCAAACATTCCCATAAAAGATAATGTAAATTGAATTAATCCGTTCCACACTCCCAAATATATTAAGTAAAAAATACGTTTTATACAGAATAATACTCTTAGGTACCTTAAGGTATCACCATTTGCAGATGACACTAGGATTTTTATAAGAGTAAACAACATAGAGCACAGCAAACCTCCAATCAGGTGTAAACCAGGTCTTTCAATGGGGTACAGAAAATAATAATATGGTATTTAATGAAGATAAGTTCCAGCTCTTGCATTACAGAAAAAATGAAAATATAAAAGCAGAAACCACGTACAAAACGCAGTCAAATCATAACATCGAACGAAAAAGCAATGTAAAGGATCTGGGTGTACTCATGTCGGAAGACCTTACCTCTAAAGAACACAATAAAGTAGCCGTCACAACTGCAAGAAAAATGACTGGTTGGATAATAAGAACTTTTCAAACTAGAGATGCTATACCAATGATGATACTCGTCAAGATGCTAATGCTCTCTAGAGTGGAATACACAATGATTGGAGAGCATGCAGAGATCCTTTACTGCTAGAATCCACTTGGTAAAACATCTAAACTATTGGGACCAACTAAAATGCCTAAATCTGTATTCTCTTGAGTGCAGACGGGAGAGATACATAATAATTTACATGTGGAAAATAGTAGAGGGGCTGGTCCCAAACCTGCACACAGAAATAACACCACACGAGACCAAAAGGCTAATACCTTTTACCAGGCTGTGGGGATGCTAAGCCACGAAAACACTTCAAGGTAATCTTGCCTATATTGAGGATGAAGAGTCGTTGCTGGCTTGAGGGAGACGATTGGGAAGGTGGGGAGAAGGATAAGGGTTATGGTGTGGAAGGAGAATCCACCTCTGAGTCAGGTGCTTTCCTTCTTCAAATCTACAGTAATCATTTTTTCTTCCTCTTGACAACACTATCTTTAGCAGGCAGCTTCTTTGGCAACATTGTGCATTACAAATTGTAGTAACAATCACAAATAAATGCAGAGGGATGCTTGTCCTGCGCGATAAAACAACTGTCGTCGGAGGTGTCCGAGAATTTGCGGGAACACTAGGAAGCACTACGTAGTTTTCTCGTTAATCGAACGGAAGCTCATCAATCTAGGAAAATTTTCTGCCCGTGGCTCGCTCACTACCTGAAATGTTTGTAGATGGGACTGCCCGTCGCACGAGGTACTAGAGATGACAACATGACACGTTTGAACTGTCCAGGGTTAAAATGACTACTTTCTCTCCCTCACGTGTCCGACATCTTCTTCAGAATGGTTTTATAAACAAGTGGGAAGAAGGTTTATATTTAATCTATTTTAGTACTAATAATTAAGTTTGCTCAAGGGAAATGTTTTTATGATGTTTACAGTCTAGAGACATGTTTTAAGATGAATTCCCAATATTGTTAGCTGGTGAATTTAATTAATGGTGACATATAGCAATGATATCCTTATTTTCTTCCAAGGAAAATTCCACTGCAATCTTGTTTTCATTGAATAAAGAATATAGGGTGGTTAATTTGTTAGTAGTAAATCAGCAGCAATATTATCTGCCTAATATTATTAGGCTCAAGGTAAGATAGTTGTATTGAAAGTTAGTAAGTGGTGTCTGTTTTTCCGACATATAACAACGGCATATATCGACGGCTTGACTTGCTTCACAAGTCGAGCCTGGCCTCTGGCCGGGCTTGGGGAGAACAACAACTCCCAGAACCCCATCAAGCAGGTATATTCTACCATGGAAATATCAGTTCATCTTTAAAGTTACCTTGACCTGGTTGACCAGACCTCCTGGTTGGTGGTCTGATCAACCAGGCTGTTATTCGCTGCTTCTAACTGTCTGATATATGAATTGCAGACCAATTAATTAGGTGTATTTTAGAGGCGTGTATCAAGTTCCCTTTTAAACATAAGAGGTTAGCTAGTTATGCTCCTTATGTTGGGTTTTGCTATGGTCACTTTTGAAATGATATTTTCTTTCATTTGTTTTCCTGAATTAAGTTTCTGATAAGCTAAAGGCTAAATTAAGTTTCTTGTACTATAGTGCAAAGTTGGCTGTAAAATGTTTATTGGTACCCATAGATGACCTTCAGGATGCAACTCAGAATAGTTGTGTCTCTGAGATTTCTATTTACTGCTAGGTGAAGTGAGGCATCAATGGAATGATACCTGTCTAGAAGCCTCTGTCCTGCCATAAGAATCCATCTTTTGTCCTTTGGGTTATGAACGAACTGCACTTTGTACCCTGAGGGGCATCATTCTTCACACACAACTGATGCTTTTATGATAATAAATTCTAATAATAATTTTTTTAGGTTTGGTTAAGCTTATATTGTACAGTACTTGCTTGTACTGTATATATAAAATTATCCTGATTGATTTAACAGCACATCTTTTGTATAAGTGAACAAGAAATACAGAATGCATATTGTGTTTGTGTGGAAAAATTTAATGACAGTCCAGTATTGATATTGTACTTGACCAGCACATTAGTCTCAAGTTTGAAACCTTATTTCATCACATAGAATATATTTATTGTCAATTCTTCAGGGGTCTTGTAGTACAGTGGTAAAAGTCCTTGATTCACAGTTGATCTCGGATTCGATCCTCGGCCGAAACAAAAATGTTGGGCGCACATCCATTCACCAGATGCCTTTGTTCATCTAGGAGTAAATATGTATCTGGAAGTTAGGCATCTGTTGTGGGTTGTACAACATCTCTTCCCTGGGAGAGAGAGATGTTGGTCCATAAGCTTAACCTCAAGAAGCTTAAGTACAGGCTTCCTGTCCCCAACAATAGGAATTATACATTATACTGTAATCTCAAGCTGTACTTTGTTGTATTCCTGTCTGGTCAATAATGATAGCTACACAACTGTGGGTGTAGGAAATGACATCCACTTAGGATAAGCTCCAATGGGTCTGCCTAATAACTGGGTAAGTGAACATTGAACATCCTTTATACCTAAGGTATTAAAGGACTGAGGTTTGAGATATTGCAACAGTAAACTGAGTTGCTAATTGGTTGGAAGGTATTTTTTTGTAATTACAAATTTGGTCTATTGGAATTAAATTTCAGCAAGATTTTAAGTTTTGTAATTATTATTATCGAAACTGAATAATTAAAATAGACTTGTATAGTATTTATATTTGTTTTGCCTGATGTATTTCAAGAATTTTCCTTAACTTTTGTGCAGTTTGTCAACCACCCTCAGATTTCTGCTATTCTCGAAGAGGAGGAAGAAGAATGTCTACATTACTTGACCAAACTAGATGTAGAGGAGTTTGATGATATTAAGTCAGGCTACAGGTGGGTCAAGAATATTTACTGTATGTAGCTTAAGATTAGCTTATTATATTACTACTGTGAATGTTTGATTCTTTTATTATGAAGCCTTAATTTCCAGGATGTAATTTTTCCATCTTTTGGGTATTTTGTTGTACAAAATATTTACAAAACACTTTTTGTAAATAGTAGTCCCCCTGGTGACTTCCCTGAAACTATCTTGCTGAAATTACTTTTAGCTACTAGGTCACACCAGTCACTAAGAATTCTTTTTGGCCTACTAGGGACCAGAGTAGGAACCTGGGCCCCTCCCAAGTGGTGCAGAGTGTGACATTCTGCCACTCTTATCAGGAAATAGTTCAAAAAGTCAGCAAAGCATTACAGAAAACTGCAAGGTTCACAGAAAATGGAGCCTCGAAACCACCAAACAACTCACCCTAACAATAAAAAAAAGTGATCAAAATATTCAAAACACTAAATACCACCAGGTGGCCCAGAGACCCAGCTCCATCTCCCTCTCCCTCTCCCTCTCTCCTCCCCTCCCTTCCCAATGCCAACCCTCCCAGATCAGTTCTGTCACTGATGCAGTGTTATGCACACCACTGTAGTGCTGACACTTCCCTTGCACCCCGTTACTGCTCTGGTATGTTTGGGTGTTCACCCTTTCAAGTGCCAGGCCACTGGGGTGGAGGCCTGGCTTCTATGTTTAGGCCCATTGCTGGGGGAAGGGGGGGGGGATTGCAATCATTTTTGGTTGTGTATTGGGTGCACTAGGTATCACGAGCTTGTTCATGTGGCCATCCTGCACAGCCCTGATTTTGTTGCTGCACACGGTGACTGTTCTTTCAGCAAGTATCCTTCAGTGCCTGGATGTCTTAAGTTTTGCCACGAGGGGTGAGTTTATTGGGTAGCGCCACTCATCCTGTGAGTGGACAAACCACCATGGCAGCATGTACAACACTCTCCAATAGGAAGAAAACCCGGTGGGTTGTTCATCCTGTCACTTGTACCCAGATACAGCTGGGACTTGTTTAACTGTCTCAAGTGAACAACTTATCAAACAAGAAGATTAACATTTGTCAACCCTTAAAAACGTACGTTATCTTGCGGGTGCAAAATTGGGGGAAATCTTATGAGAACAGCATATATGTTCTGACAAATAGTATTATGGAAGGGGATCCACAGGAATTTGACAACTCTTCCCTGATTGGTTAGTACCCTCACAGCTCTCTTGATTTCAGCAACTATCGCAAGGTTTCCTGCCCAATTTTTAATAAGAGTGTATTGCTGCTTTTGAATTAGTGCAGATCATTGCACTGATAGTTTTTGTTTCAAGAAATCTTAACACCATAACAATGGCAGTTAGTTCAGTTTGCATTGAAGAGACAGAGTTCTCAATACATGCTTTTTCTTCACTTGCATTTTGATAGGCATTATTCCTAATTACTGTATAGAGACTTTGTAAAGGCATTTGGTAAATATGACCATGGAGTGATAGCCCAGAAAATGAGGTCAGTAAGAATGACAGGGTAAAGTAGGGCAACGGATATTAAATTCTGTCAAACCAAACGCAATGAGTAATGGTCATCCAAATAAAATTGAGTCCAAGCAGTTAAAAGCCCTCTACCTCAGGGCACAGTCCTTGCACCACTGCTTTTCCTTATTTTCATATCAGATATAGTTAAAAACACAAGTCACAGGTTTGTATCTGCTTGATGGGGGTTCTGGGAATTCTTTACTCCCCAAGCCTGGCCCGAGACCAGGCTTGACTTCTGAGAGTGGTCCAATAGGCTGTTGCTTGCAGCGACCCGCAGGCCCACATACCTACCACAGCCTGGTTGGTCCGGCACTCCTTGGAGGAAACTATCTAGTTTTCTCTTGAAGATGTCCACGGGTGTTCTGGCAATATTTCTTGTGCTCGCTGGGAGGATGTTGAACAACCGCGGACCTTTGAAAAAGATGACAAAAATCTGCAAAAAATTACTTCTGTAAAAGACATTGAAAATTACAAGCTGATGTTACTAAAATTTTTGATTGTGCAGCAGAAAATGACATGATATTTATTGATGATAAATTCCAGGTGCTTAGGTATGGTAACAATGAAGACCTTAAACAAAATACAGGGTACAAAATAATCAAATCTGCCCATAGTAGGAAAGCAACATGTAAGTGATCTGGGAATGTCTTGACGACCTAACATTTAGGGAGCATAACCAAGCAAATATTGTGTCAGCTAGAAAAATTATAGGATGGATTACAAGAACCTTTAAATCCAGGGATCTCATCACAATGGTTGTACTATTCAAATCACTTGTGCTGTCCCATCTTGAGTACTGCTCAATACTCACTCCCCTGTTTACAGCAGGAGAGATTGCTGAAATAGAGGGAATATAGAGAACATATACAGCACGCATAGACATGATAAAGCACCTAAATTATTAGGATAATTTGAAAGCTCTAAAAATATACTCTCTAGAAAGGAGATGAGAGAGGTTTCAAATAATACACAGTATACATGGAATATACTGGAGGGTCAGGTCCCAAATTTACACAGAAGGAAGCCAGTGAAGAGTAGAGGTGCCATAGGCACAATTAGAGAGTACTGTCTGAACATCAGAGGTCTATGGTTGTTCAGTACCCTCTCAGCAAGTACAGTATAAGAAATTTTGCCAAAACAAAAGTGGAATTCAAGAAAAACCTAGACGCTTTCTGAAAGAAGTGCCAGACGAACCGGGATGTAGTGTATATGTGGGCCTGTGTGCCACTCTGAGCAACAACCTGTTGGACCAAGCTCTCGGAAGTCGGGCCTGGCCTCAGGTCAGGCTCAAAAGATTAGAAGAACTCCCAAAGGTCATCCAGGTTCATAAGGTAAATAGAACCTTAAATGTAAATGATTTACTACACTAATATAATAGAACCTAAGTGTTATTGAATGTACTATGTATTGTATATGATCTTTAGTGTAAAGATCATACATTCATACAATATACTGTATGGTGTAAATCTTACTGATATTATTTTCTCATTTCAGAATTAAATTTCATTTTGAGGAAAATCCATACTTTGAAAATGACGTGCTTACAAAAGAATTTCATCTTGGCTCGACAGGCAAGTGCAGTAAGCCTTGTAAAGGCCTTATACATAATGTTTAATACCACTTTTAGTTTTAGGGAGTATTTTAAGTAAAACTTGTATTATCTCAAATTTCAGTTTTGTTAATGATATTAAGGGGCCCGAATCAGAGTTTGAACTCTGATTTTTTCTGTGGAGAGCCCCTTTGGCTCCATGAAGCTGTACCAGGCTGATGTGTATATATTAGTCTGTGGCAACAGTCAATCGATGGAGTTCTTAGCCTACTGGGGACCACAAGCCAGAACCTGGCCCTCTCAGAGAGGCACAAGGAGCAATGACCTATAAACACCCCCTCCCCCCATGTAGCTAGAAGCAGTCTGTCTGCCATCTACCAGGTCAAGCACCCAGAAAGGTAGGAATCCCAAAACAAACTACAGCTGATTAAAAATTACAAACTGAAAGCCGAACGAGCAGGCAGATCCCCCCAATCAGAAAACAAGTAAACAAGCATGACGTCACCACAGCCGCCGCACCACTGTCTGTGCAACTCTTCCCTTCTCGGGAGGGGGAAGGGGGACCCCCAGACCTCCTGTGCCGCCAACCCAACCTCAGTTCTGAGGCTGTTGTGTTGGGTGGCGGTCGATCGACTCTCGCTCCAATCCTTAAACAATGCTGTGCCTTGTGGCAGTGTGCGAACCAGGTGTAATTCCAGAAGTACTGGGGTTGCATGCACCTAAGGTTTCCTTCCCTAGGTGCCCTGTAAGTACTGCCCTTGCAGTTTGGGGTTACCTTCCACAACCGGTTTGGGGACGACCTCCGCAGGGTTCTTTTTCTGCTCGGTCAGCTGGGTGTCGCTAGCTGGGGCGCAACGTCCTATGCAGCTGTCTTAAAATACGCATAACGGCCAGTTCTGTTCCTCCTGAAGACGTTCTTTTGTGGGTGTTTCTTTTCTTTTGTTTTGCCTGGTGGGGGTCTGCCTGGTGTGGCTGTAGGACCACTTGTATTTTTTGGTGGCTAGGTTCCACCACTAGTCCCCATGATCGCACATGTCACAGGGGTTCAGCTTTTGTTTGTTTGTTTGGTAGTTCTGGGATAACCTGTTAGCAGTACCTTGCCTGGGCTTTCCTTAGCAGTCAGCCTAAGGGCCCTGGAATTCCTCATTGGGGCTCATTGGTCTGATAGCTGTGTTCTCCGAGTCCCATATAGCTTTGTGCTAGTTTGAAGGTTGCTCTTCCCTTGTCTCAGGGTAACACTCACCGTTTTTGCCTCCGTTGGGTCAATCATACCTTTGACCCGGAGTCCCACAAGTGGTGTTCCTTGCTTGTACTCCAGTTCACGCAGTCCACTGCTATTGATATTCGGGTGCAGGCAGCTTCAGCAATGCATGCGAGGTTTAGGTTGCTGCAACATGCTAGGTTGGTTCCCTTTCCGGATGCCCTGCGGCTGCCCTGCTTGGGTTATAGAGACCTGGACTTGGGGGGGTGTTAAGTCACCTCGACTTTGGTTCCGTCCGCGCCCCCTTGTCCTTCCTTTGCTATAGTTCATCCTGCTCCTGGCTCCCAAATGTCTGAGGGTTTCGGAGTCAGAGCAGGGCTTTCTTGGTGGTGAGACTGATGGCTTTGGGAAATGCCCCGTCCGGATCGCGGCAGAGGCATTCGAGCCCATTTCACCTGCCGGGGCTCTCAGGTCACACCAGCGGATCCCCTTCTTCCCTGCTTTTGCGGTGGACTCTGCCTTTTCTCCAGAGGCAGAGAATTTGGAGGATGGCTCTGCCTTCCTGATCCTGATCCTCTGATGGGCCTGATGTGGGGGGGGGGGTCCTGCTTGGAAAGGTAGTGCTAGCCAGGGCTCAGGGTTCCTTTGGTCGTCGTAAGCCAATGGTACCAAATTCATTGCCGGCCCCTCCTTCGGAGCCATTGATGTCTGGTCGGCACAGTGCTCGCTCTGAGCGTCGACTGGGCTTGGGTCGTCGGCTCTTTCATGGTTCGCCCTATTCACGGGGTGATGGAGGGGTGGCTCGCTCTGTTAGTTTTCGACTGGTTCCATGATTTGTTGGCATTTCGGGTCATTTCCTCCGGCTTGCCGTGGCCTTGGATGGTTCCTCCTTTGGGGGGATTCGGGACAGGCCTCTTTCCCCTGTGCTCTGTTGGATCATCCTGGAGTTGGGTACGCTTGGTCATGGTCGAAATGATGGCATTCCTCAGGTGGGTTTCCCGCCTGTTTCTAGCCTGAAGCGGGACACTGCGGATCTGCGGTTCATTCTGGACTTGTCACGTCTGAATCCCTGGGTCTTTTGCTCCTCTTTTTGGATGACGACTCTGTCCCAGGTCCGGCTGCTTTTGGAACTGGATGCTTGGTGTCCCTGGACCTCCAGGATGCATATTGGCACATCCCGATTCATCCAGGGTTCAGGGGCTGGCTCAATTTTGTCGTGGGGCGGCAAACTTACTGTTTTCGTTGCCTTCCATTCGGTTTGAATCTGGCGCTTTGCATTTTTACACGCCTTACCTGGATCGTGGCGACCTGTTTGCATCTATTAGGGGTTCAGGGTTCTGGCTTACCTTGATGACTGGCTGGTCTGGGCTTCTAGCCAGTCTGCGTGTCTGCTCGCCAGGGATTTGGTTCTTAACCAGCTCGCCGGGTATGGGTTCATGGTGAACTGGAGGAAGTCCCACTTGGTTCCCTCTCAGGTTAGGATTTGGGTGGGTCTTGTGTGGGACTTTCGGATCGCTTCCTTGTCTCTCCCAAGGAGGGGAGGGGTCGGCCGAGCGGACAGCACACTGGACTTGTGATCCTGTGGTCCCGGGTTCGATCCCGGGCGCCGGCGAGAAACAATGGGCAGAGTTTCTTTCACCCTATGCTCCTGTTACCTAGCAGTAAAATAGGTACCTGGGTGTTAGTCAGCTGTCACGGGCTGCTTCCTGGGGGTGGAGGCCTGGTCGAGGACCGGGCCGCGGGGACACTAAAAAGCCCCGAAATCATCTCAAGATAACCTCCAGCGATGTTGCTGTGGCTGCAGTCCTGCCTTTGGCTGTTTTTCAGGGGAATCCGGGTCACTTGTTAGTTGTCCGAGCAGCTGTGCAGGAGTCTGAAATTCACTGTGCTGGTCTACTTGTCCTGTCAGATCTGGCTTTGGCGGTTGTTCTGGTTCCTTTGGGGACGTCTCTTCCGCCACTCTCGCGATCGCTGGGTTCAGACCCCGGGGGGAGGGGGGCCTTGCATGGCCTGCTTCCTCTTCAGAGCATTCGGGGTTCAGTGCCATGGCGCCTATCTGAGCCCTCGCTCGATGTGCTCACAGATGTGTCATCTCTCGGCTGGGGTTTTGTGGTCAGTGATCACCAGTCCAGCCAGGGGCAATAGGGTCCATCCTTCCATCGGGCTCACAGCACTGTGTGGGAGTTCACGGTGGTGTGGTTTTTACTTCGGAGGGTTCAAGCTGCTCCCCCGTGATTCATTGCCTGAACCGAGAGGATTGGTTGCTGTCCTTGGCTCTGCATTGGGCCAGGTCAGTTTCGGTGACTCGTCTGCTGAGTTCTCTGGGTTTGGCTTTCCTGGCGGTTCATATTGGGGGGGGGGGTCCAATGTCCTAGTGGACTGCCTGTCCTGGTTCACTCACCTTTCCACGGAATGGACGGTGAATGCCTACTGGTTCCATTGACTGCTGGACTTTTGGGCACCTGGAGGTGGACCTCTTCGCGTCGGATTGGTCGAGACATCTTTTGGTATATGCGACGCCCTTCCCCAACTGCAAAGCTGTCATGGTTGATGCTTTTTGACTGGACTGGTCGAGGTGGGGTTACCTGTACAGTGGTACCTCGGAATGCGAGTGTCCCTGTATGCGAGTTTTTCGGAAGACGAGCAGGATTTACTCCAAAAATATATCTCGGAAGGCGAGGGTTACCTCGGGACGCGAGTTTGTTGATACGTGTACAGGCCGACTGGCGCGTGGTGGCATGGCGATCTCGCCTCAGTTTACCAGTGTCTCGTGTCCAGTGACTATCCCACCTGAATTCTTCACAAGGATTTACAGTTTTTTATCGGTTTTTTGGCCATTTGAGCATAAAAGTTGTCATTATATATCTTGCCATGGGTCTCAAGAAAGCCATTGGTAAGGTTCAACCTAAGAAAATAGCTGTGAGTAGAGGCAGTAGAGGATGTCCCTTCTTGATTAAGAAAATGTGTGAAGTATGGGAAGAACTGCAAAGTTTTGTTGAAAAAACTCGCCCAGATAAAGCTGTAGCAGGCCGTTGCATTGACCTTTTAAATGACAATGTGATGTCTTACTACAGACAAGTGTTAAAATGTAGGGAAAAACAAGTGTCATTAGACAAATTCTTAGTAAAACAAGCAAGTCCTAGTGGTATGCAGGCAAAATGTGGCAGAGTGTGCATACCAGTGAAGTCCTCACTGCCTGATGTGATAATGGAATGGGACTCCCCTTCCAAACAGTAACTCCTCTCTTCCTCCCACCTCCTCACCATCTTCCATACGCCTACAGCATTCAACAGCAAGGTAAGTAATAACTTGAACATAGTTTTGTAGGTTTATTTAGATGAATTAGGTATAAAAATTTAGTTTGATGTGGGGTTTTTGGGGTAGTCAGGAACGGATTAATTCATTTCCCTTTATTTCTTATGGGGAAATTAGCTTCGGAATGCGAGTTTTCGGAATACGAGGCGTCTCCAGGAACCAATTAAACTCTTAAACTGAGGTATGCCTGTACCTCTTTCCCCTGGTTCAATTGTTGCTCCAAGTCCTGGCTTACTTGGAGACTTACCAGGGGAGAGTAGTCCTGTCGGCCCCTTGGTGGCCGACCCAGCCTTGGTGTCAGGCGTTGCTTGCTCGCCTGACACCGAGGGTCTTCTCACGGCTCCGCCTTTTTCAGCAGATCGATACGTGGCTGGTTCGATCTTCTCCAAACTTCGTGTCTGGCCTTTTTGACGCAGTTTTATCACCACTTGTGTGGTGATCAGGTGGCTTCGTTGATGGTGTCCCACCTGCGTGTTTCGTCTCGGTGGCACTATGAAGTTTCTTGG